ATACCCGTGGGCGAGGCATCCTGGCCGGCTGACAGGTACCCCAGGTAACTGTCCTGAAACTCTGCCAGACCAGCCAGAGCATCAGGTTGATAGGCCTGGGGCTGGTAGCTTCCACCAGCTGAAGGGGGTTCAGACCTGGGGGTGGGGGGGTTCGTGCCGCCCTCTGGACGACCACCACCCCAGAGTTAGCCCTACCCCCTTATGTGTGTGCGAGAGAGTGGTAGGACAGACCCTCTTGGTCTTGTAGCGAGCGCCACCAGCACTGCAAGTCAAAACCAACATTCCCTGCAGCCCACGCTTCCCTCACAAGATGACCTTATATAATAATTCCATAAAAAAATAAAAAGAAAAAAAAAAAAAAAAAAAAAAAAAAAAAAGAAAGACAGAAAAGACAGAAGAAAGAAAGAAAGAAGAAAAAAGGATCTAAAAGAAACCAACATTAATATATTACCCATCATTACTTTTACTTGGAATTTCTGTTTAGTAAAATATATACTGGGTCTGCAGCCAAAGTATAAAGTCATACTAATGAAAACATAATTTTCAAGGAATGACCTTTGCAAAAGGAAAAGAAATAATTATATATTATTTATTTAATATAAATATTATATATATATATATATATATATTAAATATATAATATTTACTACATACATATATACTATTATATATATATAATAAGTATATATTATATATATATACATACAATATATGTAGTATGATATATATATATATATATATGTATATATATATAATATAATATATATATAGTATATTATATAATATATATATATATATATAATATAATATATATATATATATATATACTTATTGTACATGTATAGTATGTATGATATATGTATATTATATGTATATATATATATAATTATATATATATATATATATATATTATATATATAATATATAATATATATATATAAATAATCACAAGCATATAAATGGAAATCAATCAAACTGAATGATGGGTGAGTACCTCTGCATGTCATTCCCTGCCATGACTGTCACAAGATGCATCTAAGAACTCCAGTGTGACTCTGACATTATTCTGAGCTCGTACTGTACCAGCTGTCTCTACCGGCTAGGCTTGCCTGTACTGCTTATACTTTACCTATGTTCTACCTTGCATGTGGTAGAATATCTTTCATTTCATTATGTTTTTTTAACATCAATTTTTTTTTTAACAACCTTCACAAAGAAATATTATTCATATCTGATATCATATACACAGCATTATCACATGCAACTTTATAAAATAATAATAATAATATCAATAATGATAATGATAATAATAAATAAATTAATAATAATGAAAATATAATGAAAATAAAAATGATAACGCTGACCAACAATACTCAAAAGAAAATATCAAATTGAAAGCATGAGTATGACAACTCTCATTCTAGCTACTTTCTAACATATTACATATCTAATGAATACTGAAGTCACGTCCCTGGTATGCGATTATCATATTATCAATAAAAAAAAAATACATGTGTATTTTGGGGGTTTCCTTTTCTTTCACTCATGTTAAAAACAATTCATTTTTAAATGCCCTTTTCTATCAGTATTTTCCATAATGCTAAAATAAGTAATATAATAATCATAGCCATATTAAGTGCCACATCATTAATTAGGGAACAATTCTTCATGATGATCAAATATACAAATCGCATATTTACACTTGAACATGGACATAGATACCTATACATCTATATGACTTCCATGTAAAAAAAATATATATATGACAACTAAAATACCTAAAGAAAATTCTGACACATAAACACACACATTAAAAAATAGGGCAAAACTTTAGATCATGGCATATAGCATGCAATAAAATAAATGGCTGACAGAGACTATTACTTCAAAGGCTGCAACTCAATAACAAAGTCCCTTCCATGCAATATGACATAAAGGTTAATATATACTTTGAATCTATATTTTGTACTAATCATTCCAGGGAAAACAACCCTTTTTTTACTTTTCTTACACATTCATATTATGACTAAGAACCAATAATCTTCACAGCCATAAAATAAGCACTGAACCAAAATATAAAAAGGCTACTTCTAAACTTATAAAGTATTTTACGATATAATGGTTTCTATAAAAAAAAAAAAAAAAAAACTTACGAATGACATGAAAGTATACTGAAGTTAATTTTACTCTCATTGGGAAAGTACATCACTTGCAGCAGAAGCAAAGATGAGCATTGGCCAAGGTACAAAGCTATAAAGGCCACAGTATGGAATCATGTTCTCTTTTTTTCTCCTCCTAAAAAGCCGTTGTAGGAGTGTGCAATATGTAGCTTTCAAGTGTTCTGACCTTTGAAAGTAAGTGTAGATTGGTCAAATGAATCATACATCTAAGTGTTTGCGAGACAGTCATATGATCTCATTTAACTGGAGCATCAAGATAAGAACTGTACTGCCACCATTCATTTTTACATTCAGTTGGAGTGGGTTTACTGATGGAATGTTTTTTAAAGCCCCGCCCATGATGTGACTGGTGTGACTGGCCATTATGGCAGTATCCCATGTGGAGATACACTGTAGTCACTCAGGTCTTATCTATTTGTGGTTTCTAATAAGGGACTTGCATTAATACATAACATGTATACCAGTGTCATGTCAGTTAATCTAAGTATCACAAGAAATAATAAAAGTTCTCTGTAATTTCATATACACAGAAAAGTAATGAGATTAAAAAGATTCAAGAGTATAGCTGCTATTATATCTGAAGACATAATCTTTATAATTCTAATACAGTAAGTTACCAAATGTTTCGAGTTCTATGAAATTGAAATTATTTACACTGAACTTCTAACATTTAGCTTAATAAATCACAATCAGGAAACATTTTTACCATTATCACTCTTAATCCTGAAAGGAAATAAGCTTTATGTAACATAGATCAGCTTTGTAAAAACAATAAGGGGTTCCCATTACTCCTGCTAAGAACTTGCTGGAACTAATGACTACATACTTTGTCCATGAAACCTGTTTATGGAAAAAATAATAAGACAACATTATGCAGCACAAAGAATATCAATCAAGGTTAGATAAAATCAATGATAACATCAAACACCCATTCAAGCCTACTTATGTATGGAGATAACATATTTAACAGGTAATATAGAGTAGATAATAGATAATACTGAACAGTGTGCTATCATTAATCAACCATATTGCAAAGAATAAGAGGGGTTAGGAGCTTAAAAAATACTTCCTCAGTAAACCCACTATATTATTATTATTATTTCTCTATTCTGGTATATTGGTATTCAGACACTGAAAGGGATTGCAGAATTACAGTGATAACTATGATCTTAAGTGTAACTGACAAATGCAACGGAAATTAAAAGGTAATTTAGCAGTAAAAATAAAATAAAATAAAATAAGCATGAAACATGAATTACTTTTATTAGATTTTAGAACAAAAACACATTTCCTTTAATAGAAGTTACAATTTTGTGCATGAAACATGAGTGCATTCAAATATGATAGCACAATTCAGTTCAAATTCATTATCAATAATTGATGTAAGAATCTTTACATCTCCAAATCTGAGATAACAAAAGATAAAAAAAATATATATAATAATCATAACATAAAGAAATAAACAAAATAAAAAAGATAACACATCATGTTCTCAAATGATTATATGTAGTCAAAGCATCATATAGATAAATATGACATTGCTCAACCAAAAAAACTTTCTTTTATGGAATATGTACAGCTACCATAAAAAGTCTGCTTACCTCTGAATGTGTTAGATGGGTTGGTAACATACAGTAATAAAAAATTAATAAATATTCAAAATAGGATACTTCAATCTATGATTTGCAATATTGTGCAAAAATGAACTTCAGGAGAATTTGTTTCCATTTAAACTGAAGTAAAAATGGTTCAAATATCTTTTCATCACCTCTCAAAACAATCTGAAATCTGAAATGCTGACATAACAGAATATCAAATTTTCCCTTATTACACTAGTACTATCACATGAAAACTACCCAAGCAGTCTGATACACAGTGCTTTGAATCAGATTTCAAAACTATAATTTGTTGTTTGTTTTAGGACTACTTGTGCCTAAAAGTGAAACTGCAGACTTTCCAAAAAAGATTAACCAAAATTCAATCACATTGCTCTACATCACTCACATACATTGGTATAGGATATGTATTTTAAGTTTGTATTACATACATCAGTCGCAAACACTGATATATGGGATTTATTTTAAATTATAATTACACAAGATAAAGATATGAATGAGAATGGATATCTTCACAGCACAAGAGATGTATTTCACCAGTTTCAAATTATCTAAAGTCACAGTAACAATTATACAGCTAATGACTGACAGGTCACGGTCATCAGGTGATTCGTCAGCTCATGGCTAACTTAAATATGCCCTTTAATCTCACCAATGTATGTATTTCTGACTAAGTTATAATTAAAATTGGTCAAATATGTCTCTTGCACTGTCAAGATATTCATTCTCATACATACCTTCTCTACATTTGTCGCAATGAACACTGTTCATCATTACTACATATTTATCCATGTAATTTTGAACTTTATGCATCCGTCATAACAATCTAAGCCAAGTAGTTTTGAGCAATGTATGTAATCAGTATTACATGCTTTACATAAATGAGAATATTAAACTGCTATAACCATCCATCACCTGAATGAAAAAAGAGCAGAATTACTATTATGAATAACAACAATAATCAAACATTTTTATATGCTCTTCATGTACTGTTAGATGCTGTTGGGTTAGCAGACTTTTTGTTTTTGTTCAATGAAACAAAGGCTGTACTTTGTCTCAATCTTATACATGAAAGAAAAAAAAACATAAAAATAAAATTAATATTTCTTGATGATAATAATAATAATAATAATAATAATAAATAATAATAATAAAATATAATAATAATAATAATAATAATAATAATATAATAAAAAGGCTTATATATAATACTCAAAACAAACACTATACACTAAGGAAAATAATAATAATATTAACAATAAAAACACAGCAAATCCACTATCAAAATAAGGTCAAACCAATAATGAATTCCAAGCACTACTACCTAAGGTACTATCAGTCAACAATCAAATATTCACATATTTCAAACAACAAACACCTAATACTAAGCTAACACTCATGTATACTATCTAACATTCCAAAAACATTTGTAAAAAGAAAAAAAATATTAACCACAATCCACACAATGAATGTTAGTTTTCCCTTTTTGATTTACATGATGGTAAAACAGAAAATAAAATAAAATAAAAGAAAAGAATGAAAGAAAAAATAAATACACATAAAATCAAATTGAATCATAAATAAAAGAAATAAATATTTAACACTTGGTGTTACTCTGTCTAAAATGCCAAGCATAATTCAGCGTAATACTTTTCATATAAAACCTTTCTGCAAAATGTGTCAACTAATATATGAAACCTAACTGATTCTTCTATAGGTGTTGAGATATAATTAGGATAAGGATGATTACTTTATTGCAAATTTACTTGTTTGTGTGTGTGCCATATGTGTATAGAAAATAATATTCCAAAACATCAATATATGACACATAATATAGACTAAATTTTAAAGTAACCTAAATCACATGCTTGGAATGTACTATACTTAGAAAACACTTTAAGAGATACTGATAAGTAGTCTTGGTATAAATGCAAAAAGTGATTTGATTACCCTGTCTAAGATAATATATCAATCTTTTAATCTTTCAAATGCATCGATTTTGGGAGCATGTTTACATATATTTTTGCTTTATCAATTTTTCTTTTACACACAGATGATGGCTTTAAAAGCACTGAGTTACAAAATAGTCAATCAATCACTAGTATTAAGTGATCTCATCAATCTACCCCATTCCTTGATTTTTTTTGGGAAAGAAAAGACTTTTTAATGAGATTTAGCATTGTCAATATCTTTTCAATCATGTAAATGATAAGAATAAAAGTTATGCACTTAGCAACAATAATAATCATGGGATATTTTTATCTCAATATCTAAGGTAAGTAAGTGAAACCAGGAGGGCCTAGTAACCGGCTCCTTGGTGACGAAAGTGCTTGTGAAGCCATGTATCAAAAAATCAATAAAATAAAACCAATTACCTTGACAATATTTAGGACTACATAAATTTTCATTATATTTAATGGAATTTAAACCTGTTGCTGCACTTAAGTTATCTAATGCTATATATATAATGCTCAGAGGTAATCCCAAGTCTTCATATAGCCATATTCAAATCAGAGCAGAAATTATGTCTCAACCTAAACCAACACATATCATAACTCATTATAAACTTCATTTTTTACTGTTGTGTAATTATCCACACACCTGTGCTTTTCTTACCTTCCAGAATAGAAACCTATGGTCCATCCTCAAAGCTATTTTCAATAACAGATAAAGCATTTTAGATATCAAAACTTCTGGTACTTATCAAACCATCAGTTAACCCTGAAGGTCATAAACTACATTAATCGTGACAAGATGACTAATGAAATTAAGCCTGAGGGCTAATCAGTGAACATACATTATACGGACAAAATGATAACAAAGCACATGAAATTATCTAGGCAATTCAGCCAATGTACTTAACCATTAGCCTCCAGATGACATGTGGTTCACATCATGGCTGACTTAGTCATGGCTCTGGGTGACGCTATGGCTGACTGGGGTGTAGCTCTTGGAGATGGGTTATTCAAATTATGATGTACACATTACATTTTATGCTGCTCTTTATAAGGAACCCTCATGACCACACTACATGCACTGGGGATTACCTGAGGGAGAATGGGATGTTTAATTCTAAGACTGGATATCGTTTTATCAAAAAGGGTGATATTTAGCATATACATCATTTGTCAGCTATGTGTGGATAATGTCTCGCACCAAAATGTTCTCTTGCTGCTGATACAAGTCTATAATTAACCTTCACTCTAGTTTATGTGACCAGTGTCCACATGTCAACTACTCATATTATGTTTTGGCGCTCTACCAGTAGAACTGTTTCTAAGTTAAGACACACAGAAGGCAAGTACTGAAGCCGTAGGAATAGCAACCTGGTATATAACAGCATACAATCTTTTAATTCTCAAAAACAAGATTTGTCATAATGAATTTAGTTTTTAATCCCTCAATAAGTTACATTTCATCTTCTACACAGAGTATAAATGGACTCTAATATATGCAGTTAGGCTACTGCATCTCCGAATATGGAAAAACATTAAAATCTTGTTTTGCATATAAATGTTACAAAAAAGTCATATCACTGCTAATGCAGCGTGGCGAGTGCTACGCATTGGCCCAGTCAGCCATGCATCATCCCCAAAGTGGAGGCCAAGCAAACCCCAAAGTCACACGGAGGCATTGGGTTAGAATAAATATAACTTGGTATACAGGAGCCATTTCCTTTTCTATAATAACAGAAATATACTAATCATCTATTGGTAACTGATGTAAAAGGCACATAAGAATGTTCTATTTTACCTAACCCGTAATAATTTGATTATCAAAATAACTTTTAAACGTGTTTGTCCAAAAGAAAAATAGAAGTCTCTTTTTGACAAACTTCATAGGTGAGGTTTGGATATAATTATTCTCATGTTAAGTGGTGACTGAGATTAATCCTGATTGGCAAGCTAAAGCTATATTATGTAAGGCAGCTATACGTAGCTTACTTATATTAAACTCATATTTCCTCGAGTTTGTTCCTAAATCCTCAACATTCACCTATAGTATGTATCATTTTATATACTGCATAAAGCAAATGGGTACATAAAATAGGTGTGCTTATACCTCCCCGTATAAAAGTATATTATGATATATGAGCAATCATCAAAGTGCTTCATATTTAGAGACTAGAATGTAATCAGTGACAAATGGACCTCTTAATTCAATAAATTTGAAGTCAAGGTAGGAAATAGTATAGACTAAGTGAGCATTTCATTTAGCTCAACCTTTATCTTCTTGAAAAAGATATAAAATGGAATCAATTGATGAGCAGATAATAATAATAATAATAAAAAGCATAAATCAGCATTTCAAAACGACCACTGTTCATTTTGTTCAAGTTCAGCAAAACACAAATATTTTTCTTTCTTAAATGAAAAGCCCTCTCTGATATTTTCTTTTCATATTATCTGTAACACAAACAAAAGGCATCATGTTAACAATCCAACTGGACAGCGGCTTCCTGCTGGATTCTCATCACTGGGATCTTAATGAGGGAGATTTCTTTACAGTATCCAACACATTATTTCTTGAGAGGAAGCTGAGTTCCACTCCACATCTACACCAAAATTCCAAGTACAATGTGTTACACAAAAACAGGCTTCAGAAAAAAATAGATAAGATCACATAATCATCATAACGTCCCTACGGTTAATGTTATAGAGTAGAATTTACTTTCCTGTTGTGGGCTAGAATGATTATGAAATCCATAAATCCATGAGTGAAAGCAAAGGAAATGATAAATAGATAATATATATCTGCAGGTATTTGCAATAACAACAATGATAAAAAATAAGTAAAAAAAAGAAAAAGAAAAGAAAAAATAACAACAATATGGCCATTGACATATTTCATTCATATAATAAACCTCATAGTATGGAAATATATCCTCAAAATATTGTGTTTGAAGATTGGGAAATAAATCTGACTTCACTAAATCTCACTGGGCTTTGAATGCTATGACTTACTATCAAACCCTTTTTTTTTAATATGAAAAACTTCAAGTTAGGAAATAATGGCAATTCACATCAAGAGTGTGAGTGTGTGTGTGTGTGTGGTGGTGTGTGTGTGTGTGTGTGTGTGTGTGTGTGTGTGTGTGTGTGTGTGTGTGTGTGTGTGTGTGTGTGTGTGTGTGTGTGTGTGTGTTGTGTGTGTGTGTGTGTGTGTGTGTGTGTGTGTGTTGTGTGTGTGTGTGTGTGTGTGTGTGTGTGTGTGTGTGTGTGTGTGTGTGTGTGTGTGCGTTGTGTGTGTGCGTGTGTGCGTGTGTGTGTGTGTGCATTGTGTGTGTGTGCATGTGTGTGTGTTGTGTGTGGTGTGTGCATGTGTGTGTGCATGTGTGTGCATGCGTGTGAGCAGGTGTGTGTGCACGTGTGTGTTCATGTGTGTGTGAATATGCTTGTGTGTGCATATGTGTGTGTGCTTGCACACATATGTCTGTGCATCTGTATGTGTATGTGTGTGTGTGTGTGTGTGTGTGTGTGTGTGTGTGTGTGTGTGTGTGTGTGTGTGTGTGTGTGTGTGTGTGTGTGTGTGTGTGTGTGTGTGTGTGTGTGACAAAGAGAGCATGAATATAAATGTAAGTATGAAATTCATGAAGTCAGATGAACTTCCACACTCAACACTGGGGGGGAAAAAAAAAAAAAAATCTCATGCTCCGCACTATGACAAATCAAATATTTCTGAATCACCAGAAAAGTTTACTATCCCATACAACCCTAAAAGAATGTCCACCATACTTACGTTGGCACTCGTATGGTTTGCCAGGAGTCTCCTCATCACCTTCCGTGGGGGCTTTTGGCTGCACTTCTTTCTTCTTGCGGCCTCTACTGCTTGGGGGCTATGGTTGGATAGGAATAAATATGGTTTAAACATATAATATGATTAAAATTTGGTTTAGTTGAAAATAAAATATACTTTCATTCAACCTTATTTTTCCATTTCATTTCCATCAAATGAGTGCTCATGGAATCATACATTAACATTATTGTCTGTCTGTCTCTCAATCTCTCTCGAAATACACACAAACACATGTACATAATTTATCCGTGTTATGTACAAACACTGATGATCAGGCTAGCATTAATTAATATTACATAATGTTATTCTTATTATATGATAAACTTGTTTAACCCAATGCTGCCAGGATGCTCGCTGTAGTATTTGTTTTGTGAAATGTATATTCGTGTAGATGGCTCCCCAACTGCTTAGCCATTTAGGAGTATATTAGTAGTCTACATGACCTCATCTGATTTTCCCCTTCCCTGGGTTTTCAGGAAGAATGTTTTTATTTTTCTAACACAGTTGATATCAGATGCTGTTATAATCATTAATAATATTATAATTATCAAATTGTTATCAACAATACAACTACCAATATTAAATAAAATATTTCTGAAAATCAAGGAAAACGGTAAACAGGTGAGATAGGTTGGACTAGCGATCAACTAATTGATGACTAAGCTTTTGTGGAGCCATCTATGTGTAAATACAATTAACAAACTAAACTCACAGTGGGCATGGCATGTACAAACATGATATCCACATTGGCACTGGGTTAACTGTTTAGCATTCCTTTTTGATTCCAATAAAATTTCATAAATACTGCACAGAAGCTCATAACAAAAACTATCATCACGTGACAAGTTTAGCAACCAATATCTTCCTCACAGATAAAATCATATTATGATCTTACCTTGGGTGGCTTAGGAAGTTTGGGAGCTTTCTTCCTTTTCCTGGTTGGTGTTGATCTTGTGGAGTAGGTATCATCGTCGTCATCATCAGGCTCCTCATCCTCATCTTCTAGGAAACTGGTTTCATCATAGTAAAAGGGTTCCTAGAAGACGAAATCCATTGTTTGGAATGTCATTTCATTTTGAATCACATTTCCTACTTTGCGAACCAATGTGAATGACAGATCACCAGGCAAATTAGAGTCACTTTATTGTAAGCAAATATTATAATTGTGTTTCCTCCTCTAAAGTTATTCCTGAACAGAAAGACTGATTTTCTATCTCTTACCCTAAAACAAAATCTACATAAGAAAAAAAAAGTAAGATCCTTTTCTTCTGCTTCTAGGAGCAGGGATTGCCAAAAGAATTATCTTCCTTCTCTAGTTTGCCCTGTCTTGAAAAGCTTCATGCCTTTATGAATTCCTTTTCCACATCTTTGAATACAATTTTCCATCTTGTACTTATTCCCTGGCCAAGAATGTCCTTCTGAATAACTTTGATTTCAATTTGCTCTTTTTTTTCTTTACCTTCTATATTTGGCAGCAATTTGGGAGCAGTAATTTTCTGATCAAAGCATCAAGTGATGGGGGGCATTTCCATGATCAGTTTGCAAGAGGTTACTGGATTACAATGCCAATATAACTGCTTTAATGGGTGTTGAAATTGCCAGAAGATAATGTATGTAGGGAAAGTGGGTACATTTGTACCTGAGAGACAATGCGAGGATTTGCAGTGCTTATGTAACTTTCAGCGGAGATTAAACTTGGATCACTTTATTTTAGTGAAAGCTCCTTCAATATCATCTCAACTCAGCCTCTCTCGTCTTTCCATTCTGTTTCTTTCTCATTTCAAAGATTTTCTGAATTAATTATTTTAGCCTTATCTTTTTGGACAGCCCCAGAAAGAACATCAGCAACTTCCTTAAACCCTATCATGACGGGGCCTGAATTCTTGTTGATGTAATATTACGCAACAGTCTAGACTTTGTGGCGAAACCTAAGCTGTGTATAGCTGGCCCACCTGTTGCGAGTCATGACACATATATACATCATAGGCCATTACGTCATGACGGTTATTGCCATACCCATCACCGAAGGGTTGATCCCTTTGCTGGTGGGGATGGCATGTACATACCCATTTTGAGTTTAGTTTATCAATGCAATCCATCTGACCTTCACGTCATGGAAATTTTGGGTATGGGCGGGATGACAGGAATATACCATCATGAAAAAATTTGGGTTAAAGTCTGGAGTGACGGCAATGTGCCTTCTTGAAAAAATTTGGCTGAGTACTGGGTGACATATATGACATCATAATTGCACTAAGCTCTTGAAGGAAGATTAGACTCAGACATCTAAGAAGGGGCTCTTGTATTATTTCCATCAGTAAAAAAAGGAGGAACATATCATCTATGAGCTATGCTTGGAAGAGTACCGGCTCCAGGGAGGACACAAGTTTCTCCTTGTACTGCCATGATCTGCACTGCAGGGTGTGCTACAGAAAATTGTCATACAAAAATATAAAAAATGGAACAAATAACAACACAGTTATTAGTCCTACGTATCTCACCTGCTTGCCCTTTTACTTGATTTTTGTATATATAATTTTTAAAACTTATATTGTTATTAATATTGTTAATAATATTATAAAAATCATAATGTCAATAATGATAATAACAGCATTGGTATTAATCGGTTGGATCCATACCATGCCCAGTGCCACTGGTCACTGTGGACAGAAATAGGATTATGAGCAAGGAAATAATGTTCTCCCCGGAGACAGTCAGCTGTGGTTCACAGATGGTACATTCCACCCTCAATTACCAGTAGAAGAAAGACAAGGGCCCCTTGTGTCAAATCTTCCTCATTGAGCTTTGATATGAAAGTCATACCACTAATGGGTTAATAGCATTAGAAAAAACTTTTATCCCAAAAACTCCAGGAAAGGGGAAATCAGATAGGGTCATCTAGTCTAGTCACTGATTCCTTGGTGGCAGAGCACTACCGGACCTATGTAAGTGTAAACACGTCTCACAAAACAAAACTACAGCAAACAATAACTTTAAGCTATAGATCATACCTAGTTGTGCCATTGTTTAGTACATCTTTTCCTGAACCAATG